CTTAAATAGATCCTGATGCAGGGATGCTTGAAGAGGTCTGCTAAACTGGCCTAGCGGCGGCCTGTCCAGCCTTTTGCTGGATCAGACGTCCCTCCAAGGGAGGTTGGAATTGCCGCCACCCTTCTCTTTCTTTTCCCTTTAATTCTTTCTTTCCTTTCCCATTAATCTCCTACTATAAGTCATTGCCTAGTTCTATTTCTTCCCTTTTTAATTTCTTTCTTATTTCACAAACATTGCATATTTCTAGTCCTTCCTTTTTTATTTTCTTTTTTTTTACAACATCGTCTAATATAAGTTCTAAACCTTATTATACATGTGGGGATTGTTTTGCTTACGGAATATAATTTTTGGGTTCAAATTCCTGTGTGGAGTATTTTTCAGTGGTTGTATCCTTCTCTAAAGCGGCGTTATATCTTCTTCCCTTTACCTAACCAACCCTACCTCCACCCTCCTTCTTAGCTACCAGCTCCTAACATTGCCCAACCGCCCCTACTGCCACCCATACAACATCCCAGCCTGTTGTCCGACCATTTTCGCCGCTGTCCGGTCATCCCTGCTTGCTGTCCGGTCATCCCTGCTTGTTGTCCAGCCTTCCCACTTGCCGCCCTTCTTCCCACTTGTTGTTCACCCCTCCCACCTGCTGTCCCGCCTCCCTAGATTGTTGTTTCGCCTCCGCAAATCTGCTATCCAGCCCCTAGAAACTGTCCTCTAGTCGACCTACCACTCCAGCAGGCTGCCACGATGCTGTTGTCCAACAGGACTCCCCTTTACACTGCTGTCCTATGTGTCGACCACCTTCCAGAACCCCTCCCGACTCGTCCCAGCTATTGGCCCATTTTGTTCTCTACTCTCTAGATTTGCCGCCCTCCTCTAGAGGGGGCCATTTTTGTCATTTATGTTGTTGTCCTTTCTCTTATTTTGCATTCGTTATTGTTGCTAAGTATTTCCATGTTCTTGTGTTATCTCTGTTGAAGAGTTGTCTTGCTTTCTTTGAAGTTCAGCAACAATATTTGTCGTTTCGTTGTGATTTGGGTTAACTCCAGTATCAGATCCTTCTCTATTGGACCCACTGGGGGCTGAATACCCCTTCTTTTGCTACCTTTGCTCAGGTCCTTTCCAGGCTGAGCAAGCTCCCCCGATCTCAAATATCATTGGGCAGAATTTACTGCTATGCGGTCTATCAAAGTTGGTGGCCTCGCAATGCCAAAAAAATAACTGACTTTTCAGAACTCAGGTCATGATGGCAATACAATTCTCTCTTTGTGCACCAGCCCCTTTGGGATGGATAAAAGCCAACTTTGATGGTGCACTCCTTTACAACACCCAGGCCGACAATGGAGTGGTGGTTCGGGATGAAGATGATGGCAAGGTTATTTTGACGCCTGGGAAAACTTTGTTACATTGGGACAACTCCCACTTGGTGCTTGATGCAGCCTTCTTCCTTGATTCACTAGTGGAGACTTGAATGTTTGAAACGAAAGGGATTATCATTGAAGGTCACAACGAAAATGTCATCACTTCTTCAAGAAAGTATGAAGACCAAGAATCTACATCAACAACTTGGGTATGAACCGAAGTTAGCATTTCTTTTTTTTTTTCAAGAACATTCTTCTCTTTTTTACCTAAAGAAAATGGAACAAAGCAGCCTATTTTTATTCCTGGCATCCTTTGGATACGTCTTTTGTTTGGGATGCTCACACTTGTGACCCCGCTTTTTTAGTGCGACGGAAGCTGTTGTTAACCACACTGCACCTTTTTGTGTAGCTTTTATAGCTCTTTTTGTATATTTTGATTTTATGCAAAAAACACACCCTTCACGCAATGAGATTTTAGGCTGCAGGAAAATTTCCAGAGGAGGGCTTGCAATGACAATGCCTCCGGCTGCAGCGAGAATTCCAGAGGGCTTGCAACAGAGTCGAGTGAGGCAAGGTGAGGAAGAGGATGTATGTTTAATGTTGGGTTGGCCGCATTTGAAGTAACAGAGGAAGCATCACCACTGTTGTAGAGGAGGAAGAAGGGAGCTAAACCCGAAGGAGGAAGCGACGAATGAGTCTCTTGTGTGAGGGAAGAGGAGGATCTTACACACGTAAAGGGTCAGATCACGCGTGGTTTAGGACTCAAACAACAATTAAGTAAGAAAGGAGAGTTCAGTAAATTTTAATTAAGATATTAAAATAAGAATTATATATATATATATATATATATATAAAATTTCATGCGATTTATCTATGT